GTGTTTTTTTTTGTTTTTTTTTTTTTTACTCTGAAACTAGCTAACCTCTGCAATTAACTACTAGAGAGGAACCCTGTATTTTAAACTGAAAAGTGTTGGTTAGGAGTCAGCACCATTTATTACCAGCGTTAATAAGCTCCCAGCAGTAGACAAGTATCTTCTAGGGAACGTGCATTGTGTGCCTGGATCTTATTCACTGCCTTGAGCATAGAGATAAAGGAGTGCTTGGACACTAGATGGGCCAGTACACGTTGGCTGAGTCTTCCTCTGAACGGTAATTCTGGTTTTTATTTCACCCCCCCCCCTTATTGTTGGTTTACGCACACGCAGTTGCTGCCTTTTTGTTGGTTTAGGCACACACATGTGCTGCCTTGTTGTTTTACTCACATGCACACATGCTGCCTTATTGTTTTACACACGTGTGCACACACACGCTGCCTTATTGTTGGTTTACACACACGCACTGCCTTATTGTTAGTTTACACATGCATGCACACACACTGGCTCCCTTATTGGTTTGCATACACACACTTGCTGCCTTGTTGGTTTACACACATGCACACACGCACTTGCTGCCTTATTGTTGGTTTGCATACACACACACACTGCCCAATTGTTGGTTTACACACACACACACACACACACACACACACACACTGCCCTATTGTTGGTTTGTGCACACACCCTCACACACACATTTGCTGCGGTATTGTTGGTTTACACACAGGCACACACACATTTGCTGCCTTATTGTTGGTTTACATTTTCTGAAAGGCGACTGGTGTAACCTGTGGAATTTGAAATGCAAATAAAAGCCTGTGGGAGTTGAAGCAGAACAAATCAGCATTTATAAAGTGAAAAAGATTTAATGTCTTTGAAACCATTGCAAGAATTTTTAATAAGAGCTGAATCGTGACGTCAAGGCGTATGGGAAAGATCTCTCTCTCTCTCTCTTTTAATGTCTGAAACGCGGGTATGCGAAGTGCTTACAGGAAAAACAGATTACAAGATTAACATCTGTTAACATGATCGTTTATCTGAAGCCAAAAATAGGTCAGTCCTTTCTTAAGGAAACACGATTGCCGGGCGCATGATTAAATAATGAAATTAGACTAATGAGTTCATAAATTCGAGGCAGTCGGGGCGTTGCTAGAGTCTGACCCGCGCCCCAAAAGAAATCTTTAATTGGGAGCCCTTCGGAGATCAATGTAAGGTCAAAGTCCCCTTTTTGGGAGAGGCACGACTCTCCCGCCTCCCCCGGGATTATTGCTAAATATGCTCCATCTCTTCCTCCCTCACTGAAGCGACAATGAATATTTTCCATCTCCAGCACTGCTGAAGGAGACGAACTCTTTCCGTGCAAATGGCTAAGTTTCCTCCGCTCCGGGGTTTGGTCACTCGCCGAGGCAGGGGCAGAGAAGAATAGGGAACGCCGATGCAAAGTAGCTCTGCTTTGCATGCGCCCGCCCCCGCGCCGGGATTGACAGCCCAGCCCGCCAATCCCCAGCTCGCCTCGCCTCCGCTCCCAGTGCATTTGTGTGAGTGCTCGCCAGGGTTCCCAGCCTGGAGCCGGGCTCCTGTATTTATTGACACATACTTTTCCCTGGGTGTATGTACAGGGCTAAATATGCGGATTAACCCTCGCACAGCACGGCCACGGGCTCTCGTAGGTCTGTGTTCATAAAGTGCAGGGGAGGATTCTGCAGAGGAGGCTATTTGGAGTAACAAGTTGAGACCCGCTAGAGAAAAAGGAAATAGATATAACATGACCCAGCACTATGTATTAATAATAACCATGTTCCCTTCATACCTGTCTGGGAAAGGAAATAATAATAATAATAATAAAACGGTGGCATGTAAACCAGGAGTTACACCCATCCTCACCTTAGCCTTGTCATGTAGATCTGTAGCAATCTTGGCACTAAATGATTTTAAGTGACTGCAAAGTGCTCCTAGGAAAATCACTTTGGGCCTTATAGTTCAATCGATTTTTATTATTTTTAAAGCAGAATTCCTCATTGATTTTTTTGGAGATTGCGGCTTCAAAAAAAAAAAAATTGCATGGCCTTTTATGAAGAAAATTGCCATGTTTCAAACTTTGGTAGATTTCTTTTTTTAAAGGGTGTATTTAAAAAAAAGCTGGTAAATATTTAGTTGAGTTTGAAAGCCTTGAATTTAAAGCTTGGTGGTGTGGTAGAATAAAAGTGCTGCTGACCAACAGACTCCATGAATGCTATGAATAATGGTCATTTCTACACTACACAATAGGCACATTCACTAAAGGAATGCCTGTCATGAACCATACCACGTTTTGTGCTCGGTTCAAGTCTCCACTCCAACTTGGATAGTATAATTGATGTTTATGTGGTGTTACCAGGAATGAGTTGCTTGGGAGCATCTTGAACAGGACCCGCAAGAGGAAAGTAACCTTATTTAATTAACTAATTATAATTTTTTTTTTAGGCTCCATGGTCATGTCTCTAGTAGGCGCTGGTGTTTATTTTGGCAAATGGCCGCATGGTTTGAGGTGGGACAGTTAAATGCAACCTTTTGGAGAAGACAACTGCCCACTTCACTCTGGAAATGGCCAGAATCATTCCTTGTTAGACTGAGGGAGAGTCCAGTAGTGAGCAAGGGAGCCCAGAACATGGCCAGAGAGGATCCTTTATGCTTTGGCCTTGTGCCACATACTTTATTTCATGCCTGCTGCACTAAATGAGTTAACTACCGAAGGGTTTTTCATTAACTCGACTTGGCAGCTATGTATTCAACTTTTTCTTTTTCTTTCTCTTTTTACAGAACATAGATATCTATCTTTAAAAAAAGGGAACCAAGCACCACAGCGTAGTGTGGGGCGCTTTTCCTCCTATTCAGCCTATCTCCTGAATGCCAGATTACCCGTGTGCCCCTCCTCTTCTCCTCAAGCCTGCCTTGTACCAGAGCAGCCTGTTGCAATGGGAAGCTGGGAGAGCAGTGATACTAGACTTTACCTTGACCCAGGCATTGCTCTGGTGCATTAATATCCTGCCTCACTTCAAGGAGATGCTGAATCACAATGCAGGGGCTAGAGGACTTGTTGTGCGTCCTGTGGTGGAGGTGGTTTTGCAGGTTGATGTGGCTGAAAGGTGTGTTAGATGTGTGTGTGGCTGAAAGGTGTGTTGGGGGTGTGTGTGAGAGGAGTTGTGTGCAGTGTGGTGGAGGTGGTATTGTAAGCTGATGTGGCTGAAAAGCGTGTGTGTGGCTGTGGCCAAAGGGTGTGTGGGGCTGAAAGGTGTGCGTGTGGTTGAAGAGTTTTGGTGCCTGTGGCTGAAAGGTGCGTGGCTGAAAAATGTGCGTCGCCAAAGAGTGTTGGTGTGTGTGTATGTGGCTGAAAGGTGTGTTGCGGTGTGTGTTGGGATGTCTGTGGCTGAAAGGTGTGTGTGTGGCCGAAGGGTGCGTTGGGGGGGGGTTGTACGTGAGAAGTGTTTTGGGTTGTGCGTGGCTGCAAGGTGTGCGTGTGTAGGGGCGGGGTTACCTGGCCCGAGGGGCGCGGGCAGGCGGGGCCGGGGGCGGAGCCTGTGTGGGTCGGGACACCGCCAGGCCAGTCCCGTAGGACGAGCCGAAGCTGGAGTCGGGCCGGGCAGTGCAGGGCCGGCGGACCCCGCTCCGCGGCCCGAACAAAGGGCGAGGCCGGGGGCGCGGCAGGGCGGCGGCGCAGGCACGTCATGGAGGGGGAGCCCCCGCGGGCGGGCATAGGCTGCCCCGATGCCCGGGCTCATGAGGCGGAGGTCCCGCCGGCGCTGCGGCGCGGGGGCTGCTCCGGTAATTACTTTCAATTTTCAACTTCACTTTGGTGCTGCCGGCGGGGGCTGGGCAGGGCAGGCGAGGTGGGGCCGCCCGGGGGGGGGCACGGGGTAGCCCCCGGGCTTGTGTGGGACCCCGCAGCCACTGGGCCCGGGCGGGAGCGGGTGAAGGGGGGGGGCTCGTCCCTCCCTCAGGAGATGCAATTTGTTTGGCTGGAAGCCGCGATGTTTTTCTGGGCGGGGGAAAGAGGCACTGGCCCGGTGGAGTTGTGCATAACAAAGGGAAGGGGCTGGGAGCAGGATGAAGCGACTCGAAGTGTTGAGTCCAGCCTGGGAAGCTTGTGAAGAGCCATATCCCCAACTCTGGCGGGGCTAAGAAAAGAGCTTGTATCTGCCCAGAGAACACGACCTGCCTGATGGCCAGCCAAGAACTTCCCCTTCCTGCTGCTGCCTTCTCCTGAGCCCCTTTTTATGCAGCCACTTGGTCTCCAAAAGCCCTGGAGACTTGGCTAAGTTGGAGCCGTGTCTTCCTTTTCCATGCTGTTAACTCCCCTCACTATAAAACTAAGCCCATGATGGCCATGAGCGCCAGCAAATGCTCTTTAAAAACAATGTATTCTCCAGCTAAGAGCAAGAATTCCTCCCCCTGCCCTGTAAGAAGCGTCCCTGCGCAGGGATCAACATGAAGTTGTTTTCTTTGTGGGGCAGGAGCATCTTTTGAAAAAGCTGTTCAACAATTAGGGATTTTATTACTAATATTTTTGGGTAAATTTAAAGGCCTGCATCTGTTTTGGTGTTGGGGAAGGGGGGGAAAAAAGAACAACAACTCTCTCTGGTTGCAGCATTGTTGCTTCATTTTGTGTCAACATGTCCTTTGATAGTGTCAAAACAGAGCCTGAAAGAAGCTGTGCTGTTTCTGATTGCGTGTGCGCCTGCAGTTGAAGGTGCTGTTTGTCTAAGCTTTTACTAGTAGGACTGGTGGCAGAAGTTGCCCAGGGACACCTGTAGTGTAATTAGTATTACAGTTCAGTTATTCAAGGAGACATCTTTAGTTTCACAAAGATAACTGCCATAGCCATCTTGAATAAGCCGGGCGTAATAAAGTGGCTTGCGTATATGTATAATTATTTCATTTTGCTCTACAAGCAGGAGGCCTAGCTCAGCTTGTCCCTGTATATTATAAAGGAGCATTTTTTAAGTCGTGTCTAATAATTTCCTTCTGGATTTATCTGCAGGGCCATGATCTCTTAAAGACCAATGATGTTGATGTGATAGCTTGTTTAGCAGGTATTATTACATATTCTGCATTAATAATGTAACGCTAAAAAAATCAAACCGTTCATCAGATTGTACTCATCTGACGCAGTTGAACAGTGGGGATGGAAAATGAAGATGACTGAGAATAACCTGGTCTTAAAAGCTGGACTGTTCTAACAGATGGGTATCTGACACTTGGGTATCAAGAAAGGGTGGGTGCTCATAAATTAGCACAGGTCCTTTCTAAAAGGGTTTTTATAGCTCAGCACAACCTTCCGAATTGCTAAATGTTACTAAAACAATGTTCATTGGGAGATGCTCTCTCTTTGTAAATATGAGTGATTATTGCTCAGTACTCTGGGGAAATGAAAAGAGTTTACATCGTTAATGTTACTGCTGCCTATTGTTTGCAAATGACCTTAATAACTGACTTGCTGGCCAGAATGGAATAGCAGTAGTGACATTTAACTTGTATAGATTAAAGTTTTCCAGTGACAGTAACGGCATTTAAAAAGAATGCTACGTCTTATTTTGCTATAATTGGTCATAGCAAAATGTAATCACAAAGATTCAATAATGCCAATTATCAGCACAAAAACATTTCATGGAAAGATCAACGTGTTTAGGTCATGCTAAATCTTCATTGCTTGTCTGGTTGTTTGCGTAGCTTATTTCCATTCAGCTTCACTCCAGCAAACATAAAGATACTTGTGTTTTTATGAAAACTACAGAATTATTTGAGAGAGAGGAGAGCCCATTCCCCTACCTTGAGTTAGAAATGGGCACCCTTTAAAATGTGCTTTTTGAGGGTGTTTGTATAGCATACATCAGATGACGCTACTTATGTGCAGACTGGAGGAGCCTAATCAGATGAATGATATAAATGCTTTGTAAACTTTGAGCGGTCTGATTATTTGCATTTTAAGGTCTCTGTGTGAAGTTGACTTCAGTAGAGTTACACCACTTTACACCAATTGATAATCTAGTCCAGTGATTTGTATGCTGAGATATCCTGTCTCTCCCTTCCCTCCTTCCCCAAGTGGAGACAATATCTTTACTACACTTACTAAAGGCCTGATCCAAAGCCAGAAGGTGTATGTAACAACTTTGGAGGGCCCTAGTTCTGTCAAGACTTAACATGCTTACTTCAACACACCACTGATTTCACTGAAACCACTCTCAGTGCATGATCAAGCCCATAAAATGTTGTCAGATCAGAGCCCAAGTATGCGTGTACATATGGTTCCTGGAAAATTGTGTTTAGGATGTCCAACTGTACTACATCTTAATGCCACAAAAAATAGGCAGCTGAAATGCAAACTGATTGCTTGCAGCAGGAAGGAACTTGTCTGAGCCTGTGTATTTAACTTCTGAAATATACTTGTTTTACATTTTTAAGACACAAGTATGAATGTGTAGATGTATGCATTTAATACTTCAGGATGTATTAAATTTCTTCTCAGAAACAGCATTTGATAAAACTCACTGTTGTTCTTTTAATACCTCTGCATGGTGGTTGTCAAGTAGGCAAGAATGTATGCAGTCCCTGAGCTCAGTGCTGTCCTCTGATAGATTATATGTCCACCATTCCCATTTACTTTAGTGGGAGTTGCATGCGTGTATCTCCAGGTGGAATTGTGCTCCGTATATTTAAATAGCTTAGACTAAAGTCCTTGGGTACAATGATAGTTTGGGAACCCTAACATATTTTAACTTTCCTCCCTCCTGTATCTATAAACTACATAGGGATAATTAATGACTGGATTGCAGAAAACAGCAGAAAAGAAATTTATTTGATTAGATATCTGCAATATAAATATTTGAACCTTGCAGCAACATTCCTTTTTCAAAGCAGACATCTTACATGTTGTAAATGTTTATAAGTTTCAGTGGTAGGATAAAGCTGTTATGACTCAGTCACTTTGGGCAATAGTCTGTTTTGTAGTTGCACCATTGCAACTGCACAGTAACTCCAAAGACATCATCACTGGAGTTGATCTGGAATTACATTAGCGTAACTGAGAGCAGCATTTTTCCTTTAATGTTTTCGAAATAAAAAATTAAACTTCTTTTAAAAAAAAATGTTTGTATTAACATTTGTTGTAGCAGAAATTTATTTACCTGTTCTTGTTTGTATTATTGAGTCCACACAGCGCCTATTACTAGGTTGTGATCAAGGTAGTTAATGTAGCCATAACTTTCATTAATGTTACTTGAGTGCAAGTATTTGCTTTCATTACTTGTTAGTCAGCAGATACCCTTGGCATGCTGAACCTGCTTTTCTGTTTGAGGCCATTGGTCTTTTTTGTTTTGTCATGTGATGATTATTCAACGTAGATAATTCATTTTGCTGTTTTTACCTTACTAAAATATCAGTAGAGCCACATCAACTCTGATGCATGTTTCTTAATATCAGTTTCCCCTTACATTCCTGAGGCTGCATTACAACAGCAACACTCATACAGTCAGTCCCAGGATATTATGCATATGTTCTCAGATGTAATTAGTGCTTGGATGGACAATACTTGCACACCTAAGTTGCTGCCAAACAATTTATTGCCGAGTAAGTCCCATCATGTGGTTTTGTACTAGTGTTTAACTGCTGTAAGGTGATTCATTTGTTTACTGTTTTTTCCATTGTGAGCTAACATCTAGAATACTATGTGTTGCCAGGATATTGGCACAGGAGCTTTAGCTACTTACATGATGATAAAGTCACATGTTCAGTGTGCTAATTAAATCAGTGCTCTAAATTGTTTAAAATCTTGTGGGATGAATGAACTGAGGCTTTTACTGTGGATTAAAAAATACTTGTGTTCACCTGTGTTGTTAAAAAGCATTTTGCTAACCTTTCATTAACATGACCACTCTTTGGAACGATGATGTCACTAGGCTGTTGCAAGTGTTAAACAAGTATTAACTTTGCAAAGTCGATATTTTACTGTGCATAACTGTAGACGTTTACCAGTGACTTAGTAGAGTTGCTCTGAATTTACATGGCTGTATGCAGGGATCGAATTTGTCACATGGCACTAAACTTCTAATTAGAGTTTATACAGTTACATTAGTAAGCAAACACATTAAAATATCGACTTTGCAAAGTTAATACT